ACAGGACGATGGTGATAAAGCAGGATGGGGCATTAATCATGAAAATATAATGAGAGCTCTCACGAGTCAGGTACTTTACAGGCACATTCTCCTATTTAATCCTAGCAAGGCCCCACAGTTAGTATCACGATTTCCATTTTGTAAGTGAAGGGACAGGTCGAGAGAAGCGTCCCTTTGTCCAGCGAACACACTGGAGAGCTAAAATTCAAGCACGCAGCTTGCTGACATCAAAGCTGCCCGGTGCGTTTCCTACTTTGACAATTTAAGGGTCCTTGGTGCCAGTACATTCATCAGGTTGCTTAGTGGAATTAGATGAAGCCACCCCCAGCCCCAGGGAGATTCCATCTTACTTGCCAGGGCTTGCTGTATCCCAAGAGCAGAGAAAGGCAAACACAAGGAGGAGAGACTTCATGGCAGGGGCCTTCTGCGGTGGAGGGTGGTGGCAGCCCCCGACACTGTCAGAGAAAAGAGAGGAGGGGGGGTTGAGTGCACCCGCTTGTGCGGATCTTCAGGTCTGGGGTGTGCTCTGCTCCGGGTGCACCTGGTGTGGTGGACACTCCCAGGTGGCTGAGTTGGCACAGCTCCTCTGGGGACAAAACTGACATGTCTTTCCTGTTGGACAGCTTTTCCCCTTCATGAAGACACTGTGCTCCCACTCGCAGGTTCCATAAAAGTGCTCATGGAGCACGGAGAATGACATACCCTTTCATTTTCACAGGAACAAAATTGATTTTTGTTCCGCTTTTATTTTATAGCAAAAATAAAAACACAAAGTATAAAAAATTTGTAAAATATAAAAAAATGACAAGAAAGGAAAACTTATACCCGAGCCCTACTGTTAGTAACCTGTGTGTCTCTTAAGAAAGGTTTGTCTTTGCCTAGTTTGTTGTTTAATAGTTTTTCTTGTGTAGGAGCTTTTTCTTATTTTTTATTAATTAGTATTTTTTTGGTACAAATTTATGGGGTACAGTGAGATGATTCTATAGGTGTATACAGTGTATTGGTCAAATCAGGGTATGTTTAAGGATATAAAGTTAATATTCTTATTATTAGGGATCCTATTTTTTGTAACTTGACTCATGTACATCATTATAATTTCTTCATAAGTAATATCTAAAAATGTTGAACAATAATCCATCAAGGGCATTTTTAGCAATTGCCGCTATTTAAAACTCATTATTGAATTATAAATGGCATATAATAAACTGCAAACATAAAAGTTGGTAAGTTTTGACATACACATATACTTTTGTGAAACCATCATCACAGGATAGTGAACATATTTATTCCACCTAAGAATTCTTTATGCCTTTTATAATATTTTCTCCTTCACTTCCCAGTCTCTAGGTCAACACTGTCCTGCTGTTGCTATAGATTAGTTTGCATTTTCTTGGAATTTTATGTGAATGGACTCATGTAATGTATTTTTTCTGTTGAATTTCTTTCGCTCAGCCTAGTTGTTTCAGATTCATCCACGCTATGACATTTATCAGTTGTTTTTCATTTCTTTTTTATTGCTGAGTGATAAGGTTTGGATATACTTCTGTGTATTTTTTATTCAACTATTGATAGACATTTGATAGTTTCTAGTTTTGCTATTAAAAATAAAACTGCTAAGGATATTCACGTCTAAGTCTTGGTAGGATAAATGATTTCACATCTCATGGTTTCATTTTTTATTTTCATGGATTTGTTTTATTTTTTAAAGTTATTCAATTGACATGAAGATTATGTCCATCCAAGGAATATAATGGTGATCTGATCTATGTATGCATTGTGTAATGATGGTCACAATTAACATATACCGCTGCTCACATTGTATGTCCCCAGGACTTGTGTTTCTCGTTTCAGAGTCAAAAGAGGAGTTGGCAAAGATCTTCTCCCATTGTGTAGGTCCTTTCTTCAGTTGCTAATTGTTTCCTTTGTGTAGAAGCTTTTAAATTTGATGCCATCCCATTTATTAACTCTTAGAATTATTTCCTGAGCTTTAGTAGTCCTATTGAAATTTTTGCCCATGTCTATATGTTAAAGCATTGACCCTGCGTTTGCTTCTAGGAGTTGCATAGTTTTTGGTCTAATTTCCAGATCTTTGATCTACATTGAGTTGACTTTTGTGCAGGGTGCGATCTCGGCATCTAGCTTCATTCTTCTACATATTGAATAACCAGTTTTCTCAGCACCATAGAAAACCTACCTTTTCTCCAACATATGCTTTTGGCCTGCTTTTGTCAAGGATCACATGACTGTATTGTGTGGTTTGTCTCTGTGTCTTCTATTCTGTTCCACTGGCCTTTGTTTCTGTTTTTGTGCCAGTACCCTGCAATTTTTGTTATTATTGCTCTGTAGTATAATTTGAAGTCAGGTTTTGTGATGCCTCCAGCATTGATTTTTATTGCTTAAGCTCTTTTGGGTCTTTTATTCTTCCAAATGAATTTAGGACTATATTTTCCTAGTTCTGAGAAGAATGTCATTGGTATTTTGATGGGGATTACATTGAATCTATAGATTGTTTTGGATCTAGTACTCTCTGTCTTCTGGGTCTGACTTCCATATGTGTTACATATCAGATCAATAAAAAAGAAAGATATTTCTATTATATACCCAGATATGGGATTGCTGGATCATATAGTAGTTCTCTTTTTAATTTTTTGAGGACCCTCCATACTGTTTTCATAGCATTAACATCATTTTATATTATCAATATCAGTGTAGAATTGTTTCAATTTCTCCTTTTTCTGTCAACACTCATTATCTTTAGATTTTTGGAATAATAGTCATCCTAACAGGAGTGAAGTAATATCTTGTCATAGTTTTAATTTGAATTTCCCTGATGATTGCTGCTATTCAATGTCTTTTCATATATGTGTTGGCCATTTGTTTGTATTGTGTGAGAAAAGTCTATTCAAGTCCTTTGCCTAATTTTAATCAGTTTATTATTGTTACTGTTTTTTTTTTTTTTTCGATATTGAATTGTGTGAGTTGCTGGTATGACACCAGATGTGTCAGGATCTTGAAGAGGTATCTGCACTCACATGTTCATTATAGTATTATTCAGAAAATCTAAATTATGGGAACCACCAAAGCGTCCATCAATGTATAAATGGATGAAGAAATTGTAGTGTATTTATATGTGTATATATATATATATATGTATATAAAACATATAGGTTGCTTATATGAGAAAAATTTAATTTACTTTTGAAGTTTCAGGTGATCCACTTGCCTGAGCTTCATTATGGGGGCAGTGTGTGTAGGAGCAAATGGTCACATCTCAAATTTGAGGAGAGGAGACACACACACACACACACACACACAGTTTTCTGAAAGGCAAGACCCCAGTAACCGAAGTACCTCCAACTACTTAAAGGACTTCAGCACTTCCAATGCCATCACCCTTGGGACCAGGCATTTATGATATGGACCCCTGAGAGAGAAAAACGAAACAATTAAACCACTTCCAAACTATATAGTACCATGGGTTTTCTCACGGTTTTCTCATTCTACTTATGACCTAGAAAGATGCATAAGTAGCAGAATTATCCAATACACCAAAGAATGAAACTCACCCAGCTTAAAGGATTTTACTAAATGTTAGAGTCTGTAAACAAGTCAGGATGGCACCTGGCATTTTGCCAGAGGGAGTGGTTTGTGAAGTAACGCCAGCGAGCCATTAAGTGTGGAGATTCCTTATTGGTTGACTGCTGTATCTAGTTTATGCTAATTAAGATAAGCTGTGTGGAATGTATAAATACCTCTGTTGTCCTACAATAAACGGCTCCTACTCCTGCTGTATCAATCTACACAAGTTGCTCGTCACCCCCTCGGTTATTTTGCTGCAGCCGGACTGCGACAACTAAAGTTGAAAATAACAGGCAACCAAGCTTAGCAGTTACACCTAGAGTAACAATGACTGGAAACCAGGTAAAATGAGGATGCTTTGTAAAGTTAGCAACATCAGTGCTCACCCAGGTAGGTTGCCATTGCTCATCTTCCCTGGAACTTAAAGGTAATCTGGAGAAAAGATGAATAACTCTGAACTAACAAGCTTAAGTTTCTGTGAACAGGTGGAATGAGGCTCAAAGTAGAAATTCATTCATACAAAATGAAATTATACTTTGTAAATGTACCTGGTGAACTGATGTTCATTTTCCTTACATGACTCAAACTCTGTTATGACAAAACATTTCTATCAACCTTCCCCCACTCCTAACCTTCTTTCTTTTCTGGGTTTATTGCCATCTATCTCTTGGTCAGCTTTGAAATCTCAGCATCATCTTTCATGCTTTTTCATGCTATCAAATAAATCCTGTAATCCTAATGCTGAAATTCATCTTGCATCTCTTCATTTTCTGTAATTCTCAATACAAATGTCTCAGTCTAGTTACTGAAATAGAATAATGTTGCTTGGTCTTAATAGATTGTGTTTGTATAAAGTTATATACTTCATAAACAGGAAATAAAACTTTTGTTTTTCAAAACCATTTGGAATTTTTACACATATAAACTGCATCCTAAATAAAAAACAAAAAACCAAAAAAAAAAAAATTCAACAGCCCCCCAAATTGATAGGATGAACCAAATTCTCTGGTCCTATGAAATTATAGCTAAGATGTATATAAAATATATATATATATATATATAATATAAAGAGCTGTTTAAAAACTTCACATATACTAACTCTTATAATCGTCACAATACCACAATGTGGGTACTATTGTTATCTCATTTTATAGAAAAGAAAACAAAAATAGAAAAAATAACTCACTCAAGATAAAATATTTATTACTAGGTGGGGCTGTGATATAGTATTATAGGTGAAACAACAACGTGGTTGAGGACATAAATTGAGGATATTTGTAAATATGCACATGAAAACAGAGTAGAAGAGTTTATAAAACTTGTGTCTATTTTAACCTGATCATCTAGACAGGTAATTATCATGAATTTCCTTTTATCTACCATATTAATATTCTTATATAGACAGTGGGTTTTGAAGATTTTCAGTTTCTTTTCTTGGGGTCTGAAGAAGATAGCATGAGATTTGTCACCACCTTTTTTTCCTTAAGTAATTGAGACTTCTTTATCTTGCAGCAGATTGTCCAGTTCTTACAATATCGAACTGCATATTCATTTTTTTTGCAAGCCATCCTGCAATTATAGAATCCTGTAGAACAGCCAGTCCTAGAAAAAAAATTTCTGGCTTTGAAAAGAGAAGACAAATGATATATTGTGTTGCTTACTTGTTATTTTTAATATTCAAAATGTTTTATGAGCTAAAAACAGCAACAATAAAAAACTTTCCCAGAGGGTTAAACAATAAAAAAGAATGCAAGAGAGAAAGTGGAGATATTGCAAATAAAGACAATTGACAATTTCTTCTCTAAAGAGAGCAGATAAATGAGGTAGTAGCTAGAAGTGTACAGGGATTGAACTCAGGGGCACTTGGTCACTGAGCCACATCCCCAGCCCTATTTTGTATTTTATTTAGAGACAGGATCTCACCAAGTTGCTTAGTGCCTCACCATTGCTGAGGCTGGCTTTGAACTCATGATCCTCCTTTTAGCCTCAGCCTCCTGGATGCTGGGATTACAGGTGTGTGCCACCACACCCAGTGTGATGGAGTTTTAGTGAGGACAGTTACTGCATATTTCTGTAAGAATGAATGATCCAGCTGGAGGGTGCAAATCCATGACTCAATAAAGGTGGTTGAATTCCAGAAGCAGAGTGGGAATGGAATCCAGTGTACAGGAGGCGTTAGTCTTAAATGAGAGAATGAAGAGAAGGCAGAGTATAGCTGAAGATAAAATTAGGGGAAGAGGTCTGGTGGTGGAGAAACAGAAGTTTCCTCTGTGTTTCTATTTTCTGGGTGAAAGAAGTCATTAACTGGGAGTGACAAGGGGTCTTGGTTCCAACTCTTCTGTGCATTCAGTTATCTGAGACCTTTCTTTGCTTTCAATGTAGGTTTGTTACTATGAACTTTATATGTGAGTTTATTATAATTAGTGTCCCTGGAACTACCTTTGCAGCATCCCCTAAGATTTACTATGTTGAAATTCTGTTTTTGTTTGCCTCCAGATATTTTTAAATTTCCTTTTCATTTTTTTTCTTGTCCTGCTAGTTGTTTAGGAGCATGCTATTTAATTTTCACATACTTGTAAAATTTCTGAAATCATTCCTATTAATAACGTATAGTTTCATATCACTGCAGTTGGAGAAGTTATATGACATGATTTTAGTCTTCTTAAATGTGTTAAGATTCATTTTGCAGTAAACTACGATCTCTTCTGGACAATGTCCTTGTGCACCTAAGGAGAACGTGTATTTGCTGCTGTTGGGTGGAATGTTCTGTATGTTTGGTCCCTTTGGTCTAAAATGTAGAACAAGTCCAATGTTTGGTGTTGATTTTTCTGTCTGGATGATCTATCTGTCCACTGCTATCTGCTACCATGATTATGTTGCGGCCTTGCTTTCTCCTCATATTGATTAACATTTGCTTTATATAGTAGGTGATCTATCACTGCAGTCTAAATGAAAGTTCTCTTTGTGTGTGTGTGTGTGTGTGTGTGTGTGTGTGTGCGCGCGCTTGACTAGGTGATCCTGAAATTTATGTGAAATAGAAATGAATATAATTGTACATAAATATTTGAGATGTTCTTACAAAAGGAAAATGGAGACATCCTGCTCTATTAGATATAAAGACATTATGAATTGTCAATAATTATGATAGTGTGATACTGTGCAAGGAGTGACACATAGGTCCATGAAACATCACAGAACATATACTCACACACAGATGCTAGATCTATGACGAATATGGCATAGAAAATCCTTGAAAAAAAGATGCTGTTTTTAAAACAAAGGGTGCTGGGCCAGTTGGCTACCCATGTGGTAAAAGCAAAAAATAAATGATGAGGGGCTGGGGCTGTATGTAGCTCAGTGGCAGGGTGCTTGCCTAGCATGTGTGAGGCACTGGGTTCAAGTCTCAGCACCACATAAAAATAAGTAAATAAAATAAAGGTATTGTGCTTATTTACAACTAAAAATATATATAAAAATAAAGGTATTGTGTCCATCTCCACCTAAAAAATATTAAAAAATTAAGTAAATGATGAGCCCTTGTTTGCAAAAACCAACATAGGGTGAAGATGTGAAATCCAAATAACAGGTAAATCGGTAAGGCTTTCAGAAGATCATATCACATAATATCTTTATGAACTTAATGTAGAGAAAGTTTTTCTTAAGGAGAAACAAAATTAAAAGCATTAATTAAAATGAATTTCGATAAATTTACATTGATATCAACATTAATTTCATAAAGAGACCTCATAGAAGGAATGAAAAGACAAGTCATAGAACAAAAGGTATTTGCAAGGTATATAAAATCACTTGCATTCAGAATATATAATTAAAAACAGTATATGAGAAAATAACAAATAAATCAGTGGATAATGGGCAAAATATTTAAACAAGTACTTCAAGAATGATAATGTTAAAATTGCCAATAAACAAATGAAAATATCCTAAATTTTATCAGTAACCCAAATTCAAATTTAAACTACACTGAGTTACTCCTGTACATCTGTTATAAATAAATAGCAGCCTGATGATATAAACTACTAATGCGATATAAACCAGTAAGAGCTCTTCTATGCTGTTAAAGGGAGTATAAATTTGCTCAACTAATCAGCAAATTCTTTGGCATTATTCCCCAAACTGAAGATACACATCCCCTAAGAAAAACACTTTCATTCTTTAGTATATACCTAATAAAAATGTGTGCACCCAATTAAAAAATAAATGAATAGATGGAGACTGAGTAGAGGAAGGAGATCAGGGAGAGGGAGGAGGGGAGGGAGAGGGAGGAGGGGAGGGACAGGGGGCAGTACTGGGGACCAAAACAGAGGAAATTATGTCATGTGCATTTATGAATATTTTACAATGAATCTCACAATTATGTAAACTATCATGTACTCATAAAAGCGTAAATTAAAAACCTGCAAAATATAAAAAGAAAAAAGTATGCATATGTACAATCAGAATAATTTAAAAATGTTTATAGTAGTAATAGTGTTGATAACCATCGAAACCTGGAAACAATCTAAGTCTTCTTCAACAGAAATATTCATAAATAAATTGTGGCATATTGCTATGATGAAACACTATGTAGTATTAAAAATAATGCACTATAGTTGCACACAGCCACATCAGTGAGTTTTGTAAATGTAATGTGCAGTAAAATAAACCAGATGCAGAAGGTGAATTCTATATGTTCTGTTTATGTAAAGTTCAAAGCAAGTAGCAAGACCACACAGCAGTGTGTAGACTGCCCAGGTGACCAACACGGCCATCCTTGTTCTCAGCCTCCTCATTTGTTTGTCTACCCTTCTTTGTGATTAGCGTGGGGATGGGGATGGGACTCTTGGGGAGAACTTCTGGCAGCATACTCCTGGCTGACATTGAAAGAAGTACCACCTTTTAGTTCTTGTGTAATTCAGCAGGTTTGGATGTGATGTCTAGAACAATAGCTATCTTTAGACCAGGAGCAGGACTAAAGATAAATTGGACACCCTTCTAACACTTGGTGTTGCTAATCTGTTGAGCTAATGAGTTTTAGAACTGTCTGATTTTGGGATTCCTTGTTATGTGAAATCATAAATTTTACTGAAGGCTTCCAAGTCTGGGTTGTCTGTGACTTGAATCTGAAAACTTACTCACTTGACACAGTAAGTATGTCCAGTAAAATATTTTTTAAAAAACAATGTTCAGGATAAGAGAAACTACTTGAAATTTGTATCTGATAAGGATTTAGTATAAAAAATACACAAAGAACTCATAATCCAATAACAAAAAGGCAACCCAATAAAAATGGGCCAGTGATTTGGATAGACATTTCTCTAAAGAAGGTGTACCAATGGACAATCAACTTATGAAAGTATCCTCACTCTTCACAAATTAAAACTACAATAGGATATTGTTTCACACCAACTAGAATGACAGCCATGACCAACCAGAATGACATAGAACAGCAAATGCTGGTGAGGCTGTAGAGACACTGAAACTTTACATTGCTTAAGGGAATGCAAAATAAAGCACCCAGCTGTGGAAAGCACCTTAGCGATCCCCCAGAAAGCTGAACATAGAATCACTGTCTAACACAGCAATTGTAATTTTAGATTTATGTTTGCACAAAAACGTGGGCACAAATATCCTGAGTAGCTTTATTGACAAAAACCCTCAAAGTGGAACCATCCATGTGTCCATCAATGGATGAACAGAATATAGTATATTCATATAGTGAAATATTTTTCATCAGTAGAAAGCAATGAAGTACTGATACGTGGAAGATCCTTGAAAAATGCTAAGTGAAAGGAGGCAGAAAGGGTGGTGGGCTGTAGGATCCTATTTGTATTATATGTCCAGAATGGGCATATACAAAAAAAAAAAAAAGTAGGTGAGTGGTTGCCAAGGCCTGGGAGACAGGGAGAATGGATAGAGTTTCTCTTTGGGGTTATGAAAACTTCCTGGAATTAGACAAAGGTGGTGGCCGCAGACCTTTACAAACACTCTGAAAGCCACTGAACGGTACACTTTATAACAGTGAATCTTGTCTCAATAAAAACATAGAAAACAATAACAATGAGAAAAATCTTAAATTGTGAGGCATCAAACTGCTCTAAGGGAATTTGTGCATCAGAAAAACAAACAAATAAATAAATAGATAATAATACAAATCCAGGTGTGTGAATTTGTTATATAACACTGGCAAATTTTAAAATTAATTGGAGATTGATTATTCAATAAACATATTTATAGATTTGATTAGTTATTTCATTACAAATTAAGGTATACTATTAATTTCCCCCAGACATAAAATAATTTCCACATAATGTAGATAAAACCATGAAAATTTTAACAGACTTGAAGCCTAGGCCCTTGCCCCGACCAGTGGCAGGAATTCTGAGGACCAGCCGTTAAGGTGGAGCACACACCCCCTCACCCTGCCACCTGCTGCCTTCTAGTTACTCCTTTCTCATTTTCTCAGTTCTCCAGATTTCCTTTGTTCTGCCTCCTACCATCTTCAGGTCAAGCAGAGCCTTGAAGTTAAAGTTTGTAGGTTAAGTTACTAAAAAGAAGCCCCCCCCCCCTTGATATTGACCTTGACACCAGCCCCCCAGCCCCCCCAGCAGCCTTCATGCTGCAGTGATGTCTGACCTTGTTTATTTTCAAACTCTTGGAAGACCTTCCATTCCCTTTCTTTTGTTTCAGTCACAGGAATGAAAACCCTCTGTCTTACCTGGGGGGACGACAGACAACAAGATGAGGACTCCCAGGACGGAAAGCAAGACCCTCATGGAGGAAGAGGTAAGCTATAATCAGTGGCTGTGATGAAGAGAAGTTCTCAAGAGGTGTGCTGCTGTCTGATTATTGAACCTTCAGGAACAAGAACATTATTATGTTCCAGTGAGACTCTTCAGGAGATAGCACAGAAAGGGCACGGCTATCAGTCACTCAAAGAACATCTGCTGAGTGCCCACAGGGTGTGGGCCAGGGTGGTCAGAGGGCCCAGCCCGAGGGGCTCTGTGAAGCAGGAGAGAGAGTCTGTTAACAATTGACATTATCTACCGTTTCTGGAGGAACTACAGAAGATAAAGTAACATTTATGGAGTAAAATTATGCACTTTATTGCCCTAATAATAGAGAAGAACTAGAAGTAACAGCATGCCAACTTATTAATATTTTTTGGGGGTATACATTAGCCCACTTGAGCAATGACGTGAAGGTACACACAGGCTGGTGAGGTATAAAAAGCTTTGGTTTGTAAATGAGTTTTGTAAATGTAATGTGCAGTAAAATAATTGGACTTTCTGTCCAAGCTCTAAATGAGATCCACCAACTTGTGTTTAAGTATTAGTGAACACAGAGTCTTTACACTTCAGCTGTATGTAACACGGGAAGCCAAAGAAAGAAGAGAGAGCCTTAGGGGACCTGCCGCACACTTAGGAATGCAAACGATGTGCAAAACCAGTGGTGCTGCCAACGGAGTGGATCTCTGACTAAATGGCACCCGCGACTTCTTTGACAACAGAGATGAACATAAGGGAACCGAGAGCAGTGTGGGTGGCCAGGAAGGCTTCAGGAGGGCCTGTGAACGCATCTGCACCCCTGGTCTCCTAGGGCCCTCATGACATTCCGGCTGGCCTCATTCTGGGTCTGTACTTTCCAGCACCAAGAAGGAAGCCAGCGGTCTCCTCCCAGGGTGCTCCTTGGGCTTTAGGGTTTCAGAGAATGGAACATGAAGTCGTGTGGTCTAAGCAGTCCTCTGGGGCTGTTGAGACTTTGAAAGTGACCTGGTGAGCTGAGTGGGGGCTGAGGGATGGAGGGGAGCCGTGGTACCACTGCTGGAGCTCCTGGAAGAGGCCGAGTCAGGGAATAAAAGTGCTGGGGACGATTCTCCAAGTCTGGGTCCACCTTCTTTCTCTTCTCAAAAGGCTGGAGCCGCCCCCAGCTGCCTAGAAACTGAGTGGACATGGAGGTCACTGCACTGCACCAGGGTGTGTGCTAGTTATTGAACACTGTTCTATTCTCCAAAATCAGACTGGTCTAGGATCGTTATCATACCTGATCATGAGTCCTAAATTTCATGATTTTTCTCATGCATCTGTGAGTTCTTGGTTTCTTGATCACAAGGAAAAGTTTGGAAGCATAGTTTACATGGCAGAGCAATACAGTTTTTTTTTTTTTTACTTTAAGTACTTTTTTAGTTATACATGGGCACAATATCTTTATTTTGTTTATTTATTTTTATGAGGTGCTGAGGATCGAACCCAGTGCTTCACATATGTGAGACAAGCGCTCTCTCACTGAGCCACATCCCCAGCCCAGAGCAATAAAAATTTATGAGGACAAATTAATTGAAGTCCTTTAGGGAGCACAAAGGGCAGAATGTTCAGTGACTTTTTGACATTTTCTAAAAACATTTGTTTCCCTGCTTGATAGATCTGGAGCTGGGCAGCAGGCCTGGAATGCTGCCCAGGAAGCCCATGAACATTGTGTGATCCCTGGGCCGGCAACTGGGGACATCAAAGGAAGGGTGATTGCATTCCGGGGGTGAGGCAGTGGACGGCCGGTTAAGTGTGGAAAAGTACTGCACATTGAGCAGCAGCCTGAAGGAGACACGGTGCTTCGACCAATGTGGTTTCTCAAAAGAACACAGAGTAGAGAATCAGGTAGATATCAAGGTATCAAGCACACATCGTTACAGAAGGAGACAGAAGCGAACTTGCCCTGACACAGTGGGTTGGGCCTAGGAATCCTCGGGTTTTACTGAGAATAGCTTTCTAGAAGGGTCCTAGATAGTCAACAAATAACGTCAATCAAGTACTCGTTGTTTACTTTTCTTCCCTCTGGTCTGCAATATCAGAATCTTGGAGGCTATGGTGGATTAATTATCTTTTCCTCCTTGTTGCAATTTAAAAACATATTTTCCTCTTTACCGTCTGTGAATAAATCCCCATATGTTAAAAACAAACACGAAATTCCTTCCTTGTGTCAAGTGTGCTTTTTACTCAACACCCCAGCTTTCCTGTTTCTTCTTGGGAAAATAAAGTTCTGGATGCTCTATTTCTACCTCTTTATCCTTCATTCACTGCTTTTTTGAAAGTTATAGATAGATTATTTTTATGAATATTATTCAGAAAGAGGAAGGCAGCTAAATATTCCACATATATGTAGATTTTTGAGAAATGTACTTATTCTGTCTTAAATTTCCCCCCCCCCATAGTTTAAACATCATTTAGTTTCCACTTAAGTAAAATCCTGACTTTCTCTAGGACAGAGACAGTAAGCTTCTCATTCATTTTTCACCCACAGGTTTTTGACATTTTCCCACATTTTTCTTTTCTTTCTCCCCCATTTTTCTATTGAAAAAACTTCTGCTAAATCACTAATAAACTTTTCTTGTATAAAATAAATTCATATATACATGTAAATATATGCCTATATACTGTGTGCATATTTTGTTTTTCATTATTGTTCTTATTTGTGTATTTTTTATTTAAAATTTAGAAAACCAATAAGGTTATCAATATAATAATGGGAATAACATATTACTCTGTTGGTCAGTTTTTTTTTTTTGTCATTGTGCCTCAAATACCTGACAAACACTATTTAGAGAAGGACAAATTTATTTTGGGCCATGGTTTCAGGGGTCTAGTCCATGGTTGGTGGATTCCCTTGCTCTGGACCCAACGTGAAGCAGAGCACCATGTGGAAGGGTATGGTGAAGGAGTGCTGCTCCATTCATGGCTGCCAGGAAGCAGAGAAAGGGGCCACGGGGAAGAGAAACCTTCCAGGGCAGCCCCCAGTGACAGACCTCCTTCAGCCACATCCCACATGCCCACAGTTACCACCCAGTCAGCCCGTTCAAAGTAGGATGGATATTTATTTCAGAGATTCAAGGATGGCCTAATCTACACAAATCAATATATGTCATTCATCACATAAATGAAATTAAGGACAAAAATTACTTAGTTATCTCAATAGATTCAGAGAAAGCCCTTGACAAAATTCAGCACCTATTCATGATAAAAATAGTGAAGAAACTAAGATAGAAGGAACCTATCTCAACACATAAAGGCTATTTACAAAAAATCCAAAGCAAACCTCATAGTAAGTGGGGAAAAACTAAAAGAATTCCCTTTAAAATCTTGGAAAAGACAAGGATGTCTGCTCTCACAATTCCTATTTAATATAGTGCTAGGTATTCTTCTAGCCAGAGCAATTAGAGAAGGAAATTAAAGGGGAAAAATGGGAAAGGAAGAAGTCAAATTATCACTTTTTGTATATTGATACAATCCTTTACTTAGAAAGTTCAAAAACTCTACCAAAAGACTGCTAGAGCTAATAAGCAGACTTGGCAAAGTAGCAGGTTACAAAATCAATACACAAACATCAATAGCTTTCCAATATACCACAATTAATCTGCTGAGAAAGAAATCAGGAAAAATTTCATTCACAATAGCTTCAGAAAAATAAAATACTTAGGAATAGATCTATCCAAGGAGGTGAAAGACTTATATAATGAAACTATAGAAAATTGAAGAAAGAAATTGAAGACCTCAGAAGATGGAAAAACCTCTCAAATTCATGGGTAGGCAGAATTAATATTGTTAAAATGGGCATACTAACCAAAGCAATATAGACATTCAAAGCAGTCCTATCAAAATACCAAGGACAATCTTCAAAGAACTAGAAAAAGGTCCTAAAATTAATTTGGAAGAATAAAAGACCCAGGATAGACAAAGCAATTCTAAGCCAAACAAAATAAAACAATCAAACAAACAAAAAGCAATGCTGGATGCCTCACAATACTTGACTTCCAATTATACTATAGTAACAAAAATTGCATGGTATTGGCATGACCACAGACACATAGACCAATGGTACAGAATAGAAGACACAGAGACAAACCCACCTAGATAGAGTCATCTGGTACTTAACAATGGTGCCAAAAACATAATGGAAGAAAAGGAGCATTTTAAACAAATGGTGCTGGGCAAATTGGTTCTCCATATGTGGAAGAGTGAAACTAGACCCTTATCTCTCACCCTGCACAAAAGTCAACTCAAAAGAGACCAAAGACTTTGGAATTGGACCAGAAACTATGCAACTCCTAGAAGAAAATGTAGGGTCAATACTCCAGTATATAGGCACAGGCAACCACTTTCTCACTAGAACGCCTAAAGCTCAGGATACAACGCCAAGAGTTAGTAAATGGGATGGCATCAAATTAAGAAGCTTCTACACAGCAAAGAAAATAATTAGGAATATGAAGAGATAACCTACAGAATATGAGAAAATCTTTGCTAGCTGCTCTACTGACAGAGGATTAATATTTAGAATATATACAGAACTGAAAAACTTAACCCCCCCAATTAATAAATGGGCAAATGAATTAAACAGACATTTCTCAAAAGAAGAAATACAAAGGCCAACAAATATATGAAAAAATGTTCAAGATCATTAGCAATCAGGAAGACGCAGTCAACACTACACTGGGTTTTACCTTACTCCAGTCATAATAGCAGTGTTCAAGAAAATAAATAACAGCAAGTGATGGAGAGAATGTGGAGAAAAAGGAACATTTTTATATTGTTGGCGGGACTGTAAACTAGTACGACCGCTATATAAGTCAGTATGGAGTTTTCTTAAAACACTACAGTAATAGTGGAACCATCATATGATCCAGCTCTACCCCTCCTCATGTTTATCCTGAAAAATTAGAGTCATCCTACTACAGTGATACATGCATACCCATGTGTATAGCAGCACAAGCCACAGTAATCAAGCCATGGTGCCAGCCTAGGTGTCCATCAAATGATGAATAGATAAAAAAAATGTGGTCTATACACACAATGGAGTCTTTTTCAGCCATAAAGAAGAATGTAATATGTCATTTGCAGGGAAATGGATGGAACTAGATACCAGGATGTTAAATGAAATAAAACTCAGAAGGTCCAGTGACTTATGTTTCTTCTCATATGTGGAAGCTAGAGA